CCCCCCCCCCCCCCCATCTCAAAATACTATCATTCTAATATTTGTTCATGTCATCGTAGTGCACCTGGGAAGTTCACAGTGTGCGGCCATCTTATTGGCGGTATCTAAACGTTGTGACGGCCAAGAGGTTGGGGCAAACTCACTCTAACATTATGTATCATGCAAGTTCACATCGAAAGTAAAATGGCTGTAATGCAGTGTAACAAGTATACAGACAGTTAAAAATTCTGAGAGTAGCTGTCGATCGTGTGGCGTGGTAGTCCAGGTATGGGCAGTCCTGAAAACGACAGTGAGCCGGCTAGCCCTTTGCAGGACTTCCTTAACCCCGGACGATCCAAACTGTGTCTGGTTCTCAGTAAGAGGAGACGAGCAAGAGAGCATGCGAGCGACTAACAGCGGTTGTGGCTGCTAGAGAGACAGCTTTTCCCGTTCATCTTTATCTTCATTTTGCTTGATTCCCCCTTTCCTCCTCCTCCCCCCCACATCCCTTGACGTTTTTCGCGAGGCAGCTCATTTCCATTAGCTGAGAGCAGGCTACAGACGATCACATCATCACACTATAGGTTTTAGTTGGTCTTTAGTATGGATTTACTCGCAAAAATGAAATATGTTGATATTTATGTATTATATATATGTTTTATTTCCTCTTGTTGAAAAGTTTTGATGCTTGTAGCTTTTCATGGTGTTTGATAAAAAATATAGAGTTATTTAGGATAATAATACTTTTGTAAATAACCTGGTAAAGAAGGTTAAAAAATATTTTTAGATGTCGATGACTAGAATTAACAATAATTCATAAGGGAGATAAGTTGCAATTAATCGCAGGTAAATCAGTATACCATTGGAAATGAATACAGCAAACATGTGCTTGCAGAAACCCTTTGATATGACAACTCGCTGGTTCAAAGGTGCATTTCAAATGCAAAAGAAAAGTTCGATGAACCTGATTAAATTGTTTGTGGTTTATGGCCATTCATTACCATATTTTCATTCTTTGCGAAAAAAACTTGAAGAAAACCACGAAATACAAACATGGGCCGACTGAAAAATTGCTAAACTAGTAATAGTGGACCAAAAAAAGAATGGAGAAGATACTGCTCCCCCGGATGGAAAGCCATTCCGTCACGGCTAACCCATGGACTTCTAGTCGGAGGTTCATAAACATTTTTCATGTTCTAATTTGAAATTGTTTCGTTAAACCACAACAGGCAGTTGTTGTTGGGGCCAAAGAATTATAGAAACATGCTGGAAAATTCATTTCATGTGTTTAATTAAAAGGAACACGAGAAAAACCCCATTTGGGTTCTCCTTGTCAACAAGCACGTAAGAAACTATACAAAATTCAGTAAGCAAAAAAAATTGAGAGCGAATAGTGCGATCTCTAGCTCGGCCTCAGTTACAAGAACTTTCCATAACTTTACCAGTCAAAGTCTTTGCTATATTTTTTTTCTTAAGGTTTGTGTAAATGTAATTTAAAAACGATAGTTTTTTAGTCATTTGGAAATTTTTTTAGTTGAGTTTTTTTCCAGGGTAGATCAGTTCTAAAACGCTGTTGTGTTTTTTATTTACACGCAGGTTTTGTGAATTAAACAGAGCGAAAGTGGATGAGATATTTGGTACAGAGAGCAGTAGGTTATTTCCAAAGGATGATTTGTATAGGTCTTTAACGAGAAGGTAGTGGTAATCAATTTGGAAAATAAGGAATCGAATGCCTAATTAACAATTAGCCTGTTTGATAATAAATATTGTTAGCAAGGGAGATTTAAATATTCTAGTAAATAGCCTTTGAAAGTAAGAATGTTACAGAAATTAATTATGAGAAATTAAAGAGATTTAACATCCAAATTGTAGTTTAGACGATTCTTAGTGAAATGGTCTTTCAACAATAGCTGCGTGTTACTGCTAACAGTGATATGTTGTAAGTCATATTACCTATCTTTTGTCAGAACAAGAATTCAAGATGCTCAAGTATTCTCATATCATAGACAACCAAAAGTTACTGGTCTTCCTATCATTTTATATCAAGTATAAGTAACCAAGGAAAAGAATCAGTCAAATCCTTTAATTTCAATCCCTTCTCTTCCAGAGTAAATGGTTGTTTCCAGTAAATGGTAGTTTCAGAGGTTGAATTAAACCAAATAAAGTATCATTCCCCGCATCATCATTCAATAGCGTTGGTATTCTTAGATTCTATTTCAATTTATTTTTATTTTAATGATCTTCGTTGATTTAATCACCAACAGATTGGCAAATAATTTATTTACGACTGATTGATTGGCTTTTTGATTGACTAATTGACTGACGAATCATGATCAGTTTGATAGATTTATCATTTGTTTGTTTGTTTGATTTAATGATAATCGACTATTCATGATAATCGACTATTCATAATCGACTTGAAGTAGGTAGGCCTCTTTCGCGAGAGGTATAAGCTTGGTGCAGAGTCGGTTAATCTTTAGAATGATGATGAACAGCTTCGAATGCAGTGTAAGGCTCATATTTCCTCTCCAACAAATTAAATACAACAGCGAATAGTTTAGAATAAGGATTGATAAGCTGAAGTGCTTCGCAGATTTTAATAGCTGAATCGTTTTGCCTCTGTCTTTTGACCCTACATATGAAGAAGGACGTTATCAAATTGTTTTGGGGGAATAGGAAGGGTTTTTTAATTTGTTTTTAATTCTCTTTTTTGTGCTGAAGTCTCTTTGTTAGACATACATTAAACCCATAAATATAAACACAAAAGATATCAACGCGAGCTGAGGGATGTTGAATTGGACAGTTCATTTTTATCCTAAAAATTCGATAACATATTTCAGCTATGATCACTCCTTTCTTTTCGAACTTGATATTTCCTCGTCTATCCTTGTTAGGATTAAACTGCGGGCAGTCGCAAATGGTATTTTTCAGGGAAACGCTGTCTACGATCGATCTATATGAGGAAGTTGTGGGTTTAAATCCCAACTTCTGGTGACTAAAAGAGGATATTTTTTACCCTAACGCGTAGGATTAGTTACAAATATTTCCTGATTTTGACCTCAAGGCCGGTACTGTGGTCGAAAACGTGATACAAGGGAGTGTGGAAATTTAAGCAATTCAATTGATGCAACTGAAACTGGCAAAGGATATAATTATTCACGAAAGGCGTGGGATAAAAACAGCGCTAACACAACAGAGTGTGGAACGAGAAATTGGAAATATTTGTTATTTGCAACATAAACAACACTAGGAGCCACGCCGCGCTAAGTATCTCCTTCGTAATTTTGATTTACATTCATCTGCAGTAACTCTACAACGAAAACACTGAGCTCGTAGATTTTCATTGTCAGAGTTTTAACTTTGAGCATAAATATTTAGCTCTGTTTACATTTTTTTTCGTATTAATGAGATGTTTCAATCAGGTTAAGAAAGAAAGGCCGGAAGACTAAAAGAAGACGTGGGTTGTTTCTGAAGATTAGTATCATAGCCTGCTTCCTTTTTGTTTCTGTCTAGTTTTTTTTCTTTTCCGTTCCTCAATTTTCTTTTCTTTATCTCGAGATATCAATCTCCCTCTGTTTTAAGTCGCACGGTTTTTTTCAAAAAGATTTCGTGAAAGAATTGAACGTTGTTTGGGTTATTCGATAACTGAATAGAAAAAAACATACTCTCAGCATGTCTTATGCCATCATCGTAATCTCAAAATGAGAAATCTTGAGATATTTTTAACCTTTGGTATCACATCATTAACTCCTCGAAGTCTGTGGAAAAGAACCCGATCGATGTCAGTTATAAAACTTTATCATCGAATGACTCAAAGCATTCGAGACAAAAAAAGCGCCAAGTGACAACGGAAGGGCTACCAACCCCTTTGTCTCTTCATCCGGAAAACAACAGTGAAACCGCTGAACTTCAAAGTTATGCGCAGTTTTAAAGTCAGTTGGATAAATATCACAACGCCTCTTCTACCACTTTACGTCCCATACGTCAGGAAACACAAAAGGAGCGGAATTTTAGTCTCAAAACAATAGCGAGAACTGGAGATTTTTCCTTCAGGGTCGTACGGCAGAAATTTCAGATAATCGATGATCTACAGCTGTTATAATTTTCATCAAACCCCATCAAAGACAAAAATTATTTGATTGCTGATGGTGAAAGTTATTTTCTCCTTAATGATATCGTGGCTAAAAAGTATACAAATTGTGAAGACGTGATAAAACCATCGTCAGCGGGGAGATATTTCGAACAGATGAATCGAGAATTTCAGCGACGGCAACTTAAATATATTTTTGAGAGAGCCCTTCGGGATTCTTAATTGCTTGGGGTTGGAGGCCATTCCAATCTCAATTGTGAAGCTTCTTGAGCTTTTTTAGTTTCCAACACTAAGTAAGCAACCGAATTTCAACTGTGGATCACCATGGCGAGATCTGCTCGTTAAAAATGAACTTGCCCATTTGATTGTAGCACAAGTATAAGGCATCGATCAATGTAGGCTGTTAGACTGAAAGTTTATTTTCGATTCTTGTGTGTTCTTAATTGCCCGTAACGGATATACTCTCAGGCAATCTATCTTCTCTCATATTCATTAGCATTGTTGTTTTTTTGCATGTTTAAGATTCATTTTTAAGATAGTTCAACATCACTTCATTTCCTAATTGACATGGTCTTCATACACAAAGGATTAGGAACGTATGGCGCCAGTATTTCCAAAATAACGTGAGCCTTAGGGCACTTTTAGAGAAGATTTTGTGGGTTTTGTTTTATATCCCAGCTATTGTTCAATAAAAGCAACTTTAAATGATCTGAAGATAAACAAAATGGATTCCAAATTGCACTTAATTCCTTCGAAGCAATTCATTTATTTTTTAGATGGCGTGGATGTTCTTGCAAAAATCTAAACAAATAATTTCGTCGACTAACTGAAATAACTCTAAGTCCAGCTAAAGACTTTCAGGGTAATCGAGCTTTCTATTTTAAGAAATCTGTTGTAAACAAATTTGATCCGATTGATTATGCATCTTTGTCAAGTGCAATTGGTTCCTTTGATTATTTCGTTTTCCTCTTCTTTGGCCTTTTTTCCTACTAAATAGTTCAAGCTGCTTTAGATTAAGGATACAGCTGATCACGTAGTCAATTCCCTCGTGGTCGCCTAGATTTGTATGTGGTTTCCTTTAAGCAAGTCCTATACGTGAAATTATGTATCAATCATGCAATGAAAGTCGTAACACGAAATACGTGATAGTATCTAAAGTGATAAAATGATAGCTGAAGAAGAGCTTTATTTCGTTCACTCTAGTTTTCAGAGCGTCATTGTGAAATTTTCTGCTTCGACGTAGACAAAAGAGTCGTGAAATATAACCTTAAACCACCTCGTAAACAATCGATAGTCTCAAGACCTGTCTCTTTAAGCCAGCTTGTAATCCCTGTTTTAGTTCTTGGCATCAAAAGGGCATTTACGCCGTATGACAACAATCTCAAGTTCGGTTTTGATTTCCCACCAAAAATATGGTACTCCTTCACTTCTAGTCTTTTATTCCGAGTTAATGAATTTGCTAAGAACAACATCTTCAAAAGAGGCCAGACCTGGCGTTTGTGCCGGAAACCGAAATGTACATTGAGGGATATTCATGAGCAATTCACTTCAGAACCGGAGACATCCATAACACCCATAACAAGATTTATATAAGCAATGTTCTGTATTTACAGCTACAAGGCTTGGCAGACGTCTTCCGTGGACTAACCCAGGAATGACCTGTCTTTAAAAGATGTGTTTGCGTCGGTTTTTGAAAATTATTAATTGGATTGGAATCAAAGAGACCGTCCTTTCTGATATTCCACAGTTGTAACTCCTTTTATCACGGTTATATTAAGAAAAAACTATAGTGCGGTTGACTTCAATGAATTTGAAAGTTTTTGATTGCGTGGTTTCAATTCGACCAGGTGGAGAATCATTCATACTTGTTGAAGAAAAAACACCCTAATGGTCATGTTTGCTTCTTAGTGACAGTTTCATGAAAAACCCTTTCCGACTTTGTAAACTCCTAGATTTCAAATGCCACAGAAATTTAATACACAGCAGTCGTTTCATTTTCATTCACTCGAAATCTGAATAGCGAACTCTAAGTTATGAAAACGATAGGCTCGCGTTATTTTCTATCACAACGGGAATAAGCGAAAAATCAGACGTACTGAAAACTTCAAGCTGTGAATGACAAATGTGGGTGAATTAAATTGAATAGCACGATGAATTTTAAATGTCAGATATAAATAGTGTTTAATAATTGAAAATAAAAGCGTGACCCTTAACATTTCCATAATACAAGCTCGTCTGTAGGCGACATACCTTAACCATTTTAGTTATGACTGAAAATTCTCGATACATTTAACACTGAACCGCTGTAATACGGATGACTGCGTTTTTTACACGAGAACCTGTTGTGAATTAAGTGATCTCTTCTGTTGACAAGCTAGCAAAAATATGAATTGCAAATACGCTCCCTTCTGTAATTACACTTGGCCCCTCCTGAGCGAAAAATCCACATATCAAAAGTTAACAACTAACAACAAGGCCACGCAGCGTGAATTCGAGGATAACACAACGTTTAGACGTACTGTTATTCCAACCGTTTAAAAATGTATTGTGCAGTTAAGAAGTTGTAAATGTTCTCGCCTCATTTAGTTAAGGGAACTCTTAACACTGTTATCACTTAAAGCGGAATGATTTACCAACGATTCAATAGTTGTAATCTGTCTCTATCTTTATGTCAACGGCGAAAGCAGTATGAAACGCATTTGCTTAAATCTCCTTTTTCCGACTCGATGTGAACGTGCGCGAATTTCGTGTGTATCTGTTTCCTCTGTTTTGATATTCAACAAACTCTTTCATCAAAAAGATTCTTTTTCTCAAGTGGAAGTAATTAAATCCATAAAACGTGACACGCTTTCAAGTTTTGTTTCAAGTTGATATCGTCTCTCTGCATCATAACCAACGCTGATTCATTTTTACCTTTGCACTATTTCATGTGACACTGTCGCTAAATCATCCGAACCAGAGACATCACTCCTTCCTCGAAGGCGCGGTGAATATCAGAGTTCCTAATCGCATAAATCAGCCATCTGAGACGTGTGAAGGTGTCAAGTATGAAACATTCATCTGTTTTCTTTAAGAAAAGAAAACTTTCAACCGCGATTAGGTTTCTGTTTTTACCGCACAGTCATACGAAACATAAGCCTTGTTTTACACAGTAGCGCCTGCCGCAACGCTACTTGCTTTGCTCTGAGGCAAACTTGATGGCGAATGAACTGGCAATGATGTGACAGCTGTTGAAGAGCTTTGTGAACAAGGGACTGGCGCGTTAAACGTGTAGGGAACTTGTGGGTTTGCCGCTCCGCGATCGCGAAAATGATTTGTTTTAAAACTGTTTGTGGAGTTTTGTTGTGTGAGCGGTTTTTTCTCGGAAGATTTCTCGGATTTGCCTCGACATTTTTTTATATAAAATTTTCGCCAAGACTGGCACGTTTTTGTGGACCAAATCCACATGTTCGACGTGATGCCAACCGCTAATAGCATAAAGTACTTTACGGTGAAAAGTTCGACGCTCGGGCCCTGATCCTCCATGCAGTTCTCGTCCCCTTGACATTGCAAGACGTTAAGCCGCCAACGTTCCATGTTTGCGTGCTCGTAAAAATAGCAAGCGACGACTGAAGTCACTGGAACAGTGTACAAAATGGAAAACACTCCGATTCTGACCATAAGTTTCTCTAGCTTGTTCGTGTCAGTTTCCTTATTCTTTAAAACTGTTCGAATTCGAAAGAGCGCGATGAAGCCCGCCAAGAGAAACAGTGTTCCGACAATGAGATAGAAACATAACGGAGCGAGTACGTACCCCCCTAGGTTTTGCTGATCGCTGTTACCCACATAACAAATCCCTGCGAGTTCATCTGTGTCGACTTTTCTCATGATAAGGGCGATGATAGTCTGTACGGCGGGCACAGTCCAAGCCACGATGTGAAAATAAGTAGCTTTAGCTTCGATCGCCTCTTGTCCCCATTTTAATCCTGCGGCTAAAAACCAGGCGAACGTTAACATCACCCACCATAGCGCTGAGGCCATTCCGAAGTAATAAAGCATCAAAAAGACCACTGAACAGCCTGCGTGGTCGGCAATGTTCAAACCCACTGTTATTACATGATGGTTAGCCTTGTCGCATATAATGTTCTCCGTACCCGCGATGGCGCGGACTATAAAGGCGATCGAGTAGAGATTATAGCAGAACGACAGGAAAATAATTGGCCTTTCGGGGTATTTAAATCTTGCCGTGTCGATAGCGAACGTAAGAACCGTAAACGCAGTGGAAATGAAACACAATACTGACCAAATCGTGACCCAAGTCTCCACGAATTGTCTGTTGCTCGGAGTGAAGAAGACGTCTTCGCCGCACCTGGGGACGCAAAGGTCATATTTTTCAACGCGAACAAACTTCTTGGCGAGCAGGTTTCTTGAATTATTTTTGCATAACGATGGAATGCTCACGGCCCCAATATCTGTCTGATTAGGATATATTTCTTTAGTGCCTTCGCTTGTAGTCGGTGCAACTGTTGACTGATCAGGTGTCCATGAACCGGGAATTTGTCCTAATTTTTTCAACACTTCTTTATACTTTGGGTCCAAAGAATCAATATTTTTCCAAAATTCCGACATGTTCATCGCTTTGTGATCCATGTCTGGATCAGCCATGCACAATTTGCTAGGGTCGCTCTTGGCTCTAGGGTCACCCTGAAAAGGCATCTGACTGCAATCTAGAATGTCAGGCCAGTCGAATCCAAACTTCTGCATCACTGGGGTACATCCATTTCTCGCTGCCTCACACATGGATCTGCAGGAGTAAATCGGATGATCTACTCCCTCGGCGCACATTGGTGCAAACATGGAGCACAGAAAAAATCGTAACTGCGGCGCACAGTTCACAGCAATCAGCGGCGCGAATTCGTTTATTTTTGTAGCCGCATCCTCTTCGTTCTCCTGGCCCATAAAATTCGGGAACTGCGTCATGTTGTAACCGAGGTTCGCGCAGAGAGGTATTGTGATTTTTTGACATTTTGATTTTTTCCCAAGCAATCCAGGCAAACAGACGAGAAGTAGAAAGAAAAGTGGACCCAGAGATTGGCTCAAGGCCGAAATCCTTCTCCACAGTTGCCTCATATCTTTGTTACGACTGAACCAACAAGAGCCTCATCCGTCACTTCACAGAGAAAAGCCGCAACTGCAAGTAATATCCATTGATGACTCTCATTCGTTATTTGCTTTGAAATTGTGAATGTCAAACCTTACCATGCCTGCTGCGCCTGTCAAACTGTCAATTATCTTTTTGTTTCAGAGACAGGTGGATTCTTGCTAGAGTTCCACCTCGTCAATCAGCCAATCAAAGCGGTAGATTTCGGAATTAAAGGTTTTCCGCAAAATGGGTCAGATGAAAGCGCGACGACGCAATTTGCGGTCTTTGTCGGGGCGTTTTTAGTGAGTATAACAAGACACGTTCAGCGGAAATTGTTCTGATTTTTAATATTCAGGAAGCGCTCCTGTTGGAGATTTCAGCAAGTTATTAAAATGCATTTATGCGATGTTTTTCAATTATCACCGAAGAACGTTTTCCCCGAGGAATTCTAATTAACCTACGTTTAGAATTCTGTTCATCAGTGATAACAGAAGGTTTTAGTCCTTTCAAGGAGACCCAAGCAGATACATGTTGAAGCTCGATTTGTTTTGAACAAGAGGATAAAATTTGCGCGATCACGTTTGTTTGAACCAAGCGTTTTCTCTTAAAAAACCTTTTAGCTTAAGTGACGTGCTCTAGTTTCAAAAGCTAATAAACTCCTCGCTTTTTATGGTAATAAATTATTCCTTTCTTTTATGGCACATGTCATTATCTTCTGACGGAGAAGGTTCTTTTTCCATTCTTGTCTGTCAAAGCGTGACTTCAAAGACGCCTTTGAAATGTCCTTCCGCCTGAATAAACATCTAATTTTGTTGAACTGATTCAACACAAAGTGCGTAAATGGAATATACGCGGGCACATTGTGGACGTAATTGTCCAAAGAGCCATGTGATAACAACTTTTACTGCACGTTTTTACTAACAAAACTAATGTCCTTTCTTCCAGTCTGGTATAAACTTTTTGATCCTGCCCAATGTTTTGGTATATCGGTTTAATTGAGGCATTAAACTTCAATGAGGGTGCCGAGCCCGGATAAACAAGGACCTTAATTGAATACCGACAAAGATATGAAAGTGCGATATTTTTTTTGATAAATCCATGTTGATTGAAATTCATCTTTCCTTGCTGATAAAGCGCGCCGATTTCACGACTCGTCGTGTGTCGAGTTGTGTAGTACCTAATTTGTTTTGAGTCATAACAAAGTTTGTTACTAAAAGGCTCCACAATATGGGCCGATGTTTTGTTTTGGTAATTTCCTTTGACATGAATTAGCCCTTGAAATGTTTCTAAAGCCGTGGCTTTGTGCTAATGTTTGCTAATTAAGTTTTTGAAAAAATTGTCTAAACGCGTCCTAAAATTCGAGTACGTCGCTCAAAATAGTTTGTTGTTTTGAATCATTGTGCAAAATGTTGGCGAAAAACTACCAAAAATTAAAAATGCATCCTACCTTCTCAATTTTCACTGGAATTTGCTTGATTTTCCACTCTTTTCCTTATGTATATTGAAGTATAAGGATGGCGAGACTGGGGCGAGACTTAAAAATTTCGCAATCTACCTCCATCGTAAAATACGTATCTATCGTTTTTCCTTGCGCAGAATATTCGCGTCATTCGGTGTCTCATTTCTGGGAAAACCTAGTTAACAATCAACGAAATAGAACAAGGAAATGAACGGATAGCGATACATGGCGATTTGTGCTTGACATAATTTGTGACCAAAGTGAAAATCCATCTGTAACGAAAAGTAGCAATTTCAGAAAGCAAATGAATGATAACCCCGAGAGCATTAGCTGCCGTGATCTTTGCTTATTATTCAGGCTGCACTTCAATATTCAGGTTGAGCTTTAATATCTAGTTCGCTACAAACTTATTAAAAATTTAAGACAGGCCTGATTTTAAATTTCCCAGATCACAAAGCTCCTGAAAAGCTGATAGAAATAGATGAATTAAAAGAACTGTTATGAAGTATTTGAAAGGGCAAAAAGAAAGAAAGAAAGAAAGAAAACCTCAGCAGAATTGGCAGCTGCGAGAGCGACGAATTAATACTTTTTAAGATTTTCTAAGGTTGATTAAAGAACAGACAGATCATAAATTATTTCTACATTGATAAATGAAATGTCTAGTGCGAAAGTTCGCTTATGATTTTAATTCATCCAGTATAAATGTATCAAGATAAAATTGCAGAAGTTAAAATATAATTTCTGTTGTCAAAATGCTTGTCTGTTTTTGTATTTGAAGATCATAAAGGTTGTTTGATCATACGGCGTAGATGCAAACTGTTTTCAGTTACAATAAAATATGAAGTGATAAACAGTAATAAGTTCGATTCATACACAGATTTAATTCACAATTTAACGTGGTAAATAAAAAAAGGAAGTTACATCTTTGCGAGAATGCCCCAGGCAATACCCCTATTTCCGACCGCTAATAAGAGAATTATCTACCCCATAGATAGCCCCACTCCACAAAGGCTTTTATCAACGTGAGGCGTTTCGTGCAGTGGTTTTACTTATCTTTATGATATTTTATTAGTGTTGAAATATGGAAGACAGTTAAATGCGTTCATTTACTGATAAAATCTCTCTAATATGGAAAAGTGCACAGGCAATTTTGATGTTGACTCTATGTCGTACATTCCTTTTAATAAAATGTTCCACCATTCAAATTAACCAGAAAAGCTATTTAACCTCAGATTTTATCTCCGTTGGATCACGAAATGGAGTGAGTGGTCTCCGTGGAATCATTAAAGACAGGCGAGGCCTTGCTTGCACATCCTCAACTGGATTTCGTTTCCTGCGTGGTTTAATTTGTTTTCTGATTCAATGTTCATGAGTTTTTAAACAGCCTCGAACAATGCGTAGTTGTATTTTAGAAAGAGGATTGAGAAAAATTATCTACCAAAAGTACAACCCCTGCACCACCTACTTTGCAAGACAGTATTACCTCAGTGAAATTCTTTTGTCGTCAATAAATTTACCAACGGTCAAACAGTAACTCGCTTGCTCGTACTCAGAGACGAGGGATGTTTCTCGCTAAATAAAAAGCATTCCTGCTTGATGTAAAAAGCGCTGACGGTGAACTTGTACACCTTGTGGCAACGTTTTGCACACTAACACAGTTTTATTTTGATATCTCACTCTATTTATATGTAGAATGGAAAGAGTGCCAACGACCAAAAAAAAGTGCATGTGTTAGTGATTTGTAACGTCTGTTTCCTAATTGAGTTTCTTCCTACCATGAAACTTCTGTTTATCCTCTTAGTTAAACTCAAGCCATTTGAGGTCACTCGAAGCTCAAAACAAAATAGTTTTTTTGGATAATGACTGATTTATGAAGAAGTTTGGGCTAAGGAATTTTGCAGATTCCTCTTATTTGTGAACATAAAAGATAACAAATTGACCTCGCGCTAAGAGCTAATTACTTTCCCACGTTTTACGTGACCCAACCTCCACATTTCTGTCATTAAGATTAAAATAAGATTTCGCATTTCCTTGTTCCCTGATCATATCATTTCAATGAAGGTATTCAAGTTTCTAATCCGAACTGAAAGTTATTCAAGGCAATTTCCTCTGTAGATCACTCTGTCCTTTTGATCTACACATACAAGATTAACTGAATGTCTGTTGTCTGACTTCTTGCACAGTGGTGACCCTGCGATTCTTGGAATCTGACACTGATCAATGGAGCAATATTTTTATTCATTTCTTGAGACATAAGAAACACCAAACAACTTTTTTTTATCTTGAGGAAGAACATTACTAAAATATTGGTTTCATAAAACAGAAAAATACAATGATAATGTACAAAAAGAAAACAAAGAGAGCTAAGAATGCCGCCGAAATCCACTGACACTTAAGGGCAGGGCGCCATGACAATGTCACTGCATGAAATAAGTAAAATCGCCCCAAAAAACCGTAAGATGTTAGACACTGTCAAAGATATAGGAAAAGAATTATAACCTGCACCTCTTCCCCACGATGCAAAAGTTTGTGAAATTTAACGACGTGGCAGAATCATATATTTTAATCGTTAGATTACAACATACTTTTACCAATTTCATGGTGCTCTCTCCCGATGACCAACTTGAAAGATTTAGGCAAAACATTTCTAAGATTCACACTTTCTGAAAAGTTGTGACCAGCCTATTTAAAATTGTGGCCAGAAATGTACGAAAAAGAAGCCTTAGGTAAAACGCGGGATCTCTCGTCAGTCAAGAAGCTATTTTCGCCGGTGTTTTAAAGTCTGTTAATGGGACTTCACTGAAGCTAACTCAAACAAAAGGAAAGAGGTGATATCTTTTTCGCAAGATCTCGCGAGAAGTTGAAAGGTCAACTGCGGAAATTTATACACCGTGCTTTACAAAATACCACATCAGGCAAACAAAATTTTTAATATCTATCACATTATATGTTTACCACATCAAAAATTTCAAACCACTCAAATCAGTATCATAACGTCTATAAAGATAAAGAGCTTATTGCGAAATTCACGTAACTCTGATTCTGATCGATGTAAACTGTAGACGTGAATTTCTGCAAATTTAAAAATAGCGTATAACTCCTGAATTTTTTTAGAACAGCTTGAACGGTCAAGGAGGGCATCAACATGATTTATGTAGAAAAATTTTGTACTTGCAAGGGCGAACGTTGAGTCACTTAACTTTTAGTGATACCTGCAAAACCGATCCGACCCTATTGATGCACCTACACTGAGGAACAACGCTGAGAGGTAAGGAAATCTTTGGAAAGAAAGGAATAGCCTGTATGTGAATGGGATACATGTTGATAATAAACAGATAAAATTTAATCTCACTCTACAATACACCAGTAGGCTCCTCTGTGATTCGGTAAACATGGCTCAAGGTTAGGCGTGTTTGTGCGTCGGCTCATTCGGGAAATCTTTATATCAGATCATTGTGATAATCCACTCGGTTTTTCCTGTAGGGTTTGTGGGTAATTTTAACTCGTCCGACAAATGTCCGAGACTGCGCTTCGGAGATTTTGTTACAGGTTCAAGTGGAATTATTGTATCGGTGAAGTCTGCCTTTTTCCTTTATAAAAGGTTTATGCCACACATTTCCTCCGAGACAACTTGTCGGCAAGAGTTGAAACTAAACAGTTCCCCTATTTTCTCATTTAGTGTATCAAAATTGCATTCCGGTGAAATCAGTATTCAAATACCACACATAGGAATCGCCCTAAAGCTGAAAGCTAATATCATCTCAACTAAATGCTGACGTTTTTGACTAAGGAGGCAAGAATGGGGACCATATACCACACATAGGAATCGCCCTAAAGCTGAAAGCTAATATCATTTCAACTAAATGCTGCCGTTTTTGACTAAGGAGGCAAGAATGGGGATTAAGAGGAATTAAGATAAACCTGAGAGAGAAAAGAGGATTAACTTAATAAGTACACTTAAAAATTAGAGTCAATTAGCGTTAAAAGGAAACCGAAAACGGACCTATTTAAAACTGGAGAGACTCTCATCCAGGCTACCCAAAGGATCGTCAGTCTGTACTTCCTAGCATAGGTGATTCAGATCATATTCGGGTGAAATACGTCAAGTACTTTTCTGCCTTGAAACTTGCTGTTTACTAAATAGCTTGCGTCAATCAGTCCAAATCAAGAGAAAATGGGGCCATGTTCAAGTATATTCTTTTACTGACAAAAGCCCAAACGATACAAGAAACAGACTCGAAAAGCGCTGCACTCAATTTAGAGTGGCGTGGGAACCGAAATTTGAAACTTGGATTTAGTGTGAAACATAAACCTTTTTGAATGGCCAGCAATGAAAAAGGATGGAATTTGTATGAAGCATTTATCATAGTTTGGGCGACGCTGCTTCCTTTGATTAGCTGTATTTGTTTATTGTATTTATCTGTTTATTATCGGCTTTGATGTATCCAAAGTGTCATACCATTTGTTTTTCTTGTTAGAATGATAATAGACATAATTGGGACGGTTGGTCGTTAAAAAAAGAGCAAAAGACGGGGCCAGATTACCTTGTTTTAACGACACCGGAAATCGGCCTTCGGTTAGAGGCGCAACCTAACAAACTGCTTGAAAAACCCGACACAGTACTAGAAGAAGAGTATGAGAAGAAACTTCAGATTAAAATCACCCTTGTAACTTAGTCCCAAAGAAAGATAGCACTCACGCGTGTGGCGGGAAAAAGCGCGAGGAAATGAAATCTGTTGTAGTTATTGACACTAATGAAAAAAGGGTAAATTTTGAAGACAAAGTCGTTAACTGCTGATAAACTGAATTGTAGAATCTTCACTTCTTCACCTGGCTAAGGCTGACTGTACCTCAGTTTAGCATGAGTGCATTGACAATTAAGAGGAGATTGACCAGTGCGAGCATAGGCATTCTAAATTAGGAAGGATAATCAGAACAAACTCAGTAAAAATACACACAATGTTACTAGTGTGGTAGAAACATCTTCGAAGAATTAGAAACACCGTGATTTATTATTGGTATAGATGTCTTTCCTATCTTCTACAAAATACAAACCATTCCGATGTTTATTACACTGTTCAATCAACGGTTCTGCCTTTATGTTGTGTAGGCTTCTGCTGGTGCACAAGGAACTCAGCTCGAACAGCTGTGAAAACAGTTGCTATCGTTATCACGAAATTTCCTTACTCAGCTTCTTCTTAATTTATGGCTGATAATGAACTGATAATTTTCGAAAAAAGAAAATTGAGTAAAGGACAGTTGAGTTTTAGATGACACCAGCCACAGCTGGTGTTTCTATGAACTTACAGTATGATACAGAGGTAATTAACAGATGTCTCTTTGCATGACTGCATGAAATGCCTTTGCTATTCGTCGTGGTACAAAGACGATACCAAAACTTGAAAAAGAGCTTTTTAGTTTCCCGATATACATGGACCACAAAATTCTCACAGCCAACGTCAAAAGGAGTGTAAGCAAGCAGGAGTCCATTACCATTGAAGCAAGTCATTGGAGGGGACAACTGTTATCTTGACCTAACACCAAATTCTTGTGACTCATTTACAAGGAAATGTGTAATAGCTACAGAGGAGAACTGACAATCAGATCTTGGGAGTTAAAGGGTTAAAAGTAGCAATAAAGGAGGCAAGACATACAACTTTTGCCGGATAAGAAGGTGAAAGGGTTTTCCACAAGGCTCCCTGGGATTTCAGGGGTTTATCCCTGATTTAAGGGTAGCTTTTCTATCATTTACATATGATCTGAATTTCTGGCTTGCTGGACATAAAAAATATTAAAACCAACAAAGAGTGACACTATCGACACGAAATATCCAACTTAAGAATAAGTTCTTGATTTTGGAAATGGTGGAGATTGGCACATCACGAGTTTTGCGCCACCAGAAATGACAATGAAGACAATTGAATTTCATCGCTTTTGATACTATACGGGTTTGTTTAATGTTGTGAAAATCTTTAAAAATTTCTTTAGAGTGTTTAATCAAACTAGCGCTCTGGTCATACAAGGGAGAGTTAAGAGAGGATCTCTTGTTTTACCATTATGTTCGTCAGAATAAAGAAGTGGTTGGAATGGGAGTTTAGACTGAGTAAAATCATTCTAGCCCTAGATTGTTCGTATCATAAGTCCGTGAAATAAAGATTTGGAAGTGAGGTAACAGAAAAATTGTCCGGTGGGTCATTCTTTTGAAACAGAGAGAACTGATCGGCTTCCCGTTTTATTTTTAAATCCCAGAACTCTCTCAGAACATCTGAAGTCTGTCTCCGAAGGTTAATTTCGTCCTCCTCTAGTTGTCTATAAAGGAAAAAAGTTGCCGCGCTTTATGCTTTTGTAACGACTCAGTGATAAATTATCTCGAGGGATTGTTATGAGACAAAACATTGTGAAATGCTCTTTGTGTGACACTCAAATAAGAGGCCTTCAACTAGAGAAAAGAATGGAACGAGTTTTCTTACGTACTTTGATCGATCTTTCTTACTTAGACTATCCTAGGAAAGCAGACCTAACAGTTCTCTTTCAGTAGAACCAACCCACCACTGCTTCGACAAAAGGTGTTTGAAGACCCAGTCATTTGTTTTTCCTCATCAATCTGACCAAACTCTCGCTATGACCACAAGCCGTTTTTTGTATTCTCTTCTGACGTTATTACCCCGTGTATCTGACTAATATTCAACAATTATTCGCCTCAGGCTCCTTGGATATTGTTGAATAATCATTTCGACTTCGTCTCGGGGATTATTCAACAATATTCACTGAGCCTGAGGTGAATAATTGTTTTAGTATAATTGCTAAGGTGCTTCGAATTCTGTTGTGAATTCGTTTTGTTGTTTGAACCATTCTTTTACAATTGTTTTGTTTACTCGCATTGAGATAAGCAGCCAGTCTCTCAATTTAACAGGTTTATTGAAAGCAGTAAGCAAAAACTTCATAACTTTCTTTTGGAAAGTGTTACGCCAAACGTAGTAGCATCGTTTGTGCTCATCAGTGTTGAATTTTCCTCCATCACGTTTATCCCTTCCCCGGTGACACTGACAAAACGCAAGGCAACCATTGTGAAATTTAACGCCCCTGCTAGATTCACCTCGCGCGAGGCGATTAGAGCGCGATTTAGCCTGATATGACGCAATTCTCGACCACTCAGGGCGCGCGCTTCTTTATAATCACCGGCCCAGTTGTTCGGAGGAGGATTGGCGCTAACCCAGGGTTAATTTTTAATCTGGGTTTCTTTATTTCTTTCTTCAAAAACCTTTTCAGATAATTTCCTCTTTTATTTTTGGAGCATCATCCAAGCATTAAATTGTAGACAAAAATAATTTCAGTGAATATTCTTTTAAGGCTTAGATTTCACACTAACCCTGGGATATCTTAACCCAGCTTTGAACAACGCGGCCCGGAGTAATTATACTAATAGTACTATAAGGGCACCACTACCAACTGAGTTACGCTGGAAACCTAGTACTTGGGAGTATCTAGTAACTGCATTGGGATGCACGTTTTTGAATGCCGTCGAAGCCTGGATTTCTCAGGCTTCTTTTCTGTAATTTCGTTGATTGCAACTCACCTGTAATGATCATCTCTTTAATAGTACTTATATTTTATCCGCAGGCCAAAATAATACTAATTTCATCTTAATTGGGATGATTAACAGACTTATTGGGCTACAATACAAATAAAATAATCCGATAGCCCATTAGTAGGAGCTTTTATCTCCCCTGATTTGAAAAAAAAAAAGAAAAAAAAAGCGAGTGTTGATCAAACGTTGTCCTCACTGCACCAAACTCTTTATCATATGTTTTTTTCAGTTCTCTTCTAAGCATCTATTTTTGGGTGTCCCGGTCTTATCGATCCATGTGCTTTGATAAATATTTATACTCAAAAATGCTGAACATGTTGAAATATTCCCCAGAAAACAGGTAGCCCATCTCGACCCCTCCTCCCCGTTAACCCTTTTACTCCGATGAGTGACCAACATAGAATTTCTCCTCAGAATATAAATGAAACATCAAGCAGACAAGTGACGAGAATACAGAATAGTATCAATTAGGGGATCACTAAGTGATCCAATACCTTATTCTCCAAACTAACATCATATAACCTATATCGTAGACAATAGGGAGAATAACTAACAGGCATTTGGGAGTGAAAGGGTTGACGCCACTTCCTCCCGGTGCCGCTGCGACCGTTCTGTCAGTAAAGCTTCAAGTGTAGCAATTTTCTTTACCTCTATTCGAGGAGATACTCCATTAGCTAAAAGACTTGAGTTTCAAAGTAATTTAACATCGTGGTCCATACGACAAGAGAACTTATTTACCTCACTTCATCGTTTTGCTCATTGCATCTTTCCTCTGTAGTATCCAGTGCAATTTTCTTTAATAAACTTTCTTTCTTCAACGACCGAATTTCCTCCTCCATCTTAGCTGTTTTGTTCTCCATGTAGGCTTTCCATGTCAGTGGCATCGAGTATGGGAAAGGTATTCGTTGCTGATCCAGTAAACTACGTCAAATTCAAGAGAGTAGCATTAGGAATCCGAAACTACTTTGGACTTTCTTGTTCGTGAAAGCCTTTTAAATGATTTTCGAAACTTTAACAATCTTCTACACAATCATCCTTGGCCATGGTACTATTATATTTTCCATTTATAACCTTATTATTCGAGGGGCCGTTATTTCTAAAATGCTTACTTGCTCACAAGCTGATGCTGTGTCTGAAGAACATCAATGTATTCCTCAGCTTCTTGTAGCCTCTTCCTTAACCTCCTGTTTCAGTAAACAAAATGCGCCCTTTAGAACTGAAACAATAGAAGTCACTAGGGGAGAGGAGAAGCTAAGAAATGAATCTTTTTAAGTTGGAGCTGCCCAATAAATAGTGGAGATTTTCTTCCCACCAAAATTCTCAAGAAATTCAGAGAAATTCTTGATCATGAAGAGCAATATTGAGGGTAAATATGATTAAGAATAATATTTGAGAAAGTAATCTAAAAGAAGAACAGAGTGTTTTGAAGAACAGACAATAAATATATCATCCTATAAGCCTAGTTAGTATCTGCCGAAAACGCTTCGAAGACGACACTTTGGGTTACAAGGATAGCGAAAAGCATGAAGGCTATTCAGTTAAACTAGAAGCATCTGGATAACAATTGTCTTCCATTCGTTTAACCGTGGAGGTAGAGAACAGTGGGCTCACTCGCCATCCTTAACACCGCAGTTACAAGAGAACCAGACCGAACGGACGCCTCATTACCGGCGTACACAGAAAGCCTACGCTTCGAATGTAAATTCTTACTTCCTCTTGCAAAGAGTAAGAAATATCAAGAAACGGACCACTCACTGCGAGACGGGCCACCAAGTTAAAATTCACTGCGGTTTTACAACAACAAGCTATAGGCGCTGTTTTCAAGTCGTAGACTACGTTAAGATTGCATTGAGTATTGAGTACTGCTTAAAGACGCTGTTGACCCGGCTCAATAAGACGGAGTGGTGCACAGAATTCCTTCTGAGTGAGGTAAAGTTTACATTGGGGAAACTGGCAAACCTATGCTGGAGAGAATCAATAGGCATGACTGAGATATCCAACTCACTAGGGCACATGAATAAAGGGTGTAAGTTTCTAAAGAAACTGTGGTGCTGTGTCGGTGGGAGAGTGTAACAAGGTGCTTTAGTGTTATCAAATGAGTTGAAAACATAAATTGGCCACCGTAAAGAGTTTAAAGGCTGATGTTTCGAGCGTTAGCCCTTCGTCAGAGCTCTGACGAAGGGCCAACACTCGAAAACGTCAGCCTTTAAACTCTTAACGGTGGTCAATTTACGTTTTCATCTCATTAGGACATAGACCTCTGCCGCGATTTTCAGAACACAATTACATCAACGGACACCGGCCGTCTGTTGTGGGAAGAAGCGAGATTTTGTTCGTGATCGCCACAGTTACACTCTAAAGGTAAAATAGGCGACCTACGGAAGGCTTTATCAACAACACCAACAAGGACAGTGGGATAAAAATTCCTACAAGCATGGATGCTGACGATCGAGAAACAGAACATCAAGAGAGCCGTGCAACAGCAGGCCGCTATGGAAATACGTCTGCTAAGTGCGCCAATCATACACAGACTGCGAGCAGTCCTTTCATTTTGGGTAAAGTCTGTCGCGGGAGTCCAAAATGAAAATCAGTGAATACAGTTCCAGCAGCGCATCGACATCAATTTTTTTCGCTGAAAATTTTTGGACTCGCGCGACGGACTTCGCCGAATAGAAGAGACTGCTCGTATAGTCTACGCCAGTCACGATTGTTGAATTTCAAGATAATTTGGTTTTATCAAATGATTTGATAATGAATTTCAGCCCATCACAGCTAAGCGTAATGGTCCAGAAGGTGACCCATGTACAGTTTAAACTTTGAAAGGGTATTGCCTGTAGCCGAAAATCAAAGTTTTAGTTTTGAGAACACATTATTTACCGTAAACTGCATTTGAGAACCTTTCAGCAGTAATAATGCTATGCCTAAAAGGTTGTGGGGTTTCAGTGCTGCTATCATATTAAGAAGTTCTTCAATTTACAGAGGGAATGAATTGCTTTCGACTCTTCACTACTTGCGCAGTTTTCCTCCCATCTTTTAGACGACTTTCTTGAAGAAACATCCCATCATAATCATACTTGCACGAAATGGAAGATATGATACAGAAAAATACTATCTGATCAAGAGCACATCACCTGAACATGGTTGCTTGATCTGATACTAACATGAACGCCGATAGAATTGCTGTCATGTCAGTTATATCAAAATTCATTGTTTTGCGTCTTTTTGCCAAAAAGACACAAAACAATGAATTTTGATACGGACTGAAAAAAGTCCCTAACAAAAATAAACTCACCTTTTATAATCAGCTCTCTCCTTTCTTCTCGAGTGAAAGGAACTCCAAGCGTGTCCCATTTTAGCCGTTCCAACGAAAAAAAATTAGTGCCTAAATGAAACAAACAGATGCGCTTTCCTTTCTCTAATTGTAGGAAACAACTTTGCTTTGTGACGAAACAAAACGAGGCTATCGCGCGTGCTGTAAGTAGCCAGTCAGATTCGTCACTTCAACGGCGCGCTCAGAAACGAGAACACAAATATAAGAAGAAAACTTCCCCAACCATTGAGAAGGAAAGGGATGATCACCGGGATGAGTCATGCTTGTTACATGGATAACAGCGCTCCTTTCCTTTTGAAAATTTAATTCGTAACCTGAGCTGTTTCTCCTGTGGGGGAGGGACTAAAACGTTTACAAGGGAAAGTAATTGGTCCCAATATGTTATCTTGAATCAAAATAATTCTTCAATTCACTGCATTCTCAGTAATGTCAAAATTGGATGAGGTCGAACCGACCACCGAAATCAGTATGCTAAAATTTACGAATCCAATTATTTCACATAATCAGGATATTTGGAGGCACAAATTCCGCAGAAACCCTTTTTAGATCTGAAGCTCTACTACTCAGGCTCTCGCAATGTATCGACTGTTTCTCAGTTCAAAAAACCCTGTAGGCTCCAAACAAACTGTTCTAAATTTACTATTTCCTCTATGTCGGCTACTGTCTACTTTCTGAGCATTTCAGGAGACCCCGTTTACCATACATGCTGCTTCGACAGAATAATTTTCCTCTATGGACAATCCTCAGTCCTCAGCCGGCGGACAATTACCCACTGCGTTATGTGCGTGACAAGGCTAGAGGATCACGCATTCTGCTTTGGTCACGCTACGTTGCTTTGATTTTGCGACAAACCTTGTAGTTTCCGCTCTATTTGTCTTGTTCACCTTTGGTGGGCTGTCGAAGTTATCGTCGATTGTGTTTGATAATTTTCACCTATTGTCTGCGTGCAGTGTACTGTACAGTGTGTACTGCACGGGACGTAACGTAACGAACGTTTGTGTCTTTTTTATTAATTTTTCGACGAAAGAGAAATGCTCTTTTAGTGCATTACATAGCAAGACAACAAAACACCTTTGGTGCTCGGCCGGTAAGCATGCTTACTTTTGTATGTTTTTCTCTGAGATGTTAAAATTGAACGGATTGATTTATGGGAACTTGTTATTACTTGACAACGACTTTCAATCAAATAATGTGGTTAGACTGCATCAATTTATTGTGTCGACAGTGAGTTTGTGGACAATTTTCGAATACTCAAGTGACTCTGCCTAATGTTTACACACAGTAAGCTTCACTAGAATTAAACGCAAATAAAGCTCTCGAATCCATTTCTTTGATATTGGAATGTCATAAATGTTAAGCCATTGCAATTTTTGATCCCGATTTGTTTTATCGCTCAATAACATTAAATAATTCGTGCGTTATCCTCAGTACGACCATCTTTAGACTCTCTCTGTGATCTTCTGCGTTGTTTCGTTAATGTCGGTGATACTTGGTGAACACTTAATCGTTTTCGCTTTTGAAAACACGTCATAAACCATGGGCTATTAGCAGTGACAACATTTATACTATTTATTGTTATTTTATATTACCGTAGTAAAAATTTAACGCGTTTGCTTATAGTCCTAAGGGTATGATGGTATGTCTTTGAGAACCTTTCAACGCAATGAGATCAGTTACAAAGAACCATGTTAGAATTTGCTTTTGTCCTCTGGTCATAAATGATCAAGGCAATGTGCTCGCTTTACGATGAATTCCGTTGTGGAATTGAGCAATTGAAGTCAGGTTTATTTGAAAATTTCATTTCACCGATACAAGTACATGTCGGAACTGTTACGAGTACCTTATAGTTTTTTATATCTACCGCCAATTGAAGATAAAATCTTCAAAATTTTATGCATGCGTGAAACTTGACCCAATTGCGGCAAATCGTTCGAATGTTAAATTTATGCTTTGGTGCTTTGTACGATAAGGATATCCATGGTGTGATCGCCAACAGTTTTCCTTCCTTATTATCGTTTCGTATCTTGTAATGAGGCAATGTGGTGTTTAGAAAACTTGTAATCGATTGTGATGATTTAGTGAGTGTACCATTCAGCAACACATACTGTATGAAAATTAGCACCTTTAACTATCAAGTGACATCATATTAAATTGGGCTGTTTAGATAACGAAGCTTTTGCGCATATTGTAACCCAGATTTGTGGGTCAAAATTGGTTAATTTCCTTGTCTCCAGTCTAGTAGTGCTCTGGCAATATATTCTTAAGTACTCTTGAATGTAATTGTTTTGATACCCCGGTCTCTCAAATCTTTCTTTTCCAGTCAAGCACTGTGATCCTATCAGACCTCTTGATAACTCAAACCAGTTGCTTCAGACTGAAATCGGGAGATATATTATCTCGTGTAACACTGCAAGTTTAAAGAGATAATTTTAATTCTTTCTTATTATGCAAAGTGAGCATGGATTCCGTTCAATGGTTTCTCTGATCAAACGGAGCAAACCTGTGTGCGTGTTATGGTGTCTGTTGTGATACACATACAACGCTTTCAGCACACCAATTGGGCGAGGGCACTCCAATCATTCCAAACAGTGAGGAAAGTTCAAACTCTGTGTAAAAAGGTGAAATTGAGTGCAGAAACTTGAAATTAAATGTTTGTTAATTACATTTAATCAAATTATATCAGGCATTAGTTTGAGTAAACAAATCTTAGTAGTTTTTCAAAAACTTTAAATTGTACTTAAATGGCTACTCGTAAAAATCACATAGGAAGCATAACTGTTTGGGCTTCTCAATCCAGGGTAGAAGTGTAGAGATACTGGTATAAATTTCAAGAAAAAATAGGGTCCATCCAATGATTTTTGTTCAACTTTGTCCTTGTTTTATGTTACCAGTATGTCAAAAAGAAAAAGTGTTTGCTTTTGGAGGACAATAGTTAATGACTAATATTAATTTTTGAAAAATAAATCAATTTTGTAGGTGAACAACATTCTGAGACTTTAACTCCATTGGCTGAACTTGTGATGTACTGAATGATTAACATTGCGTGGCTCTAACGTTCTACGAATGTTCAAAAAGAGCAATGCTGGTGATCAACTTCTCATTGCTGTCAAGCTCAATAAAATATCAGAAATCTCACGGCTTGTTGCCCTGGGTGTTGATGTCAATTCCAGAATAGACAAGGTGACAAGATTTTTTGGTTTTTTTTTTGGCATTTTGAAGTATGAGGTAATCGAAGGAGGAGTTTGGATGGGATGCATTCATGAAGGGTCTTACTGTAATCTCATGGTGTCACATTCCATTGGGAAACCCTTCATGTTAAGTCCTTTTATACGTACAGCCCAAAGGGCTGGATGGATATCATAGGTGCCACTGAGTCTGTCCAAAAAAAATTTGACCCTTACCTGTTGTTTAAGACATCAAAGCACATATGGATTGTGGTATATCACCTGATAGTAAAGCCACCTTTCTTATATTCAGACAGTGTTGGATGGCACATCACTAAGTTCACACCCTTTTCAAGGCTTTTGTTGCATTAAGACACCCTGATTCAAGGCCCCAAAACCTATTGTGCAACACAAAACTTCTTAGGCTAAACAAGGAAGTTTTCTTCCTCCCCAACATCTGGTTATGTAATCTGTGTAAGACATATGGCTATTACTTACTGCTCTTGATTAAGATTGATCATAGTAGGCTGTAGCAATTTCAGTTGTAAATTTGACACAAAAGACATTGTTTCAATTGTCAGATTTGTGAGGTTTCTTCACTTAACTTACCTTATGAGACTATCTAAACTCCTATTTAAAGGGAAACTGCTATGATAATTTCATGTGATTGCTGCCTAATATGGACAGAATCATTGCAGTTTTGGATATTATATTTTTCTTTATTTACCATGTTGTACTTTTTATGATTTTTTTTCCAGAATGGTAAGACTGCTCTCCATTATGCTGCTTACAAAGGCCAGGCAGTAGCTGTGAAGGCCCTTGTAGAGGCAGGAGCTGATCTGGATGTAACAGATGAGGTAGAGGAATCTTGAAATGTATTTCTTGTGTATTCAAGAAGCTTTCTTGAGTGGAAAATTGTACTGTTGTCCACTTGCTCTTGAATACTTTTGACTTTGCACAAAAATCTTGAATACCATAAAATTCCACTTGTTTTTGTGCCTTCATTGAGAAATTCTTTTACATTGGTTTTGATGTCTAAATTTGTATGTGGTAGAATGGAATGACTGCTCTTCATCGTGCCATTATTCATGGCCATACAGATGTTGTCCACATTTTATTAAAGGCTGGTTGCTTGATTGATCAGAAAGATGAGGTAAAGTTAGATTATGTTTTGTACTGTTCACAGTTCTTGTGTACAAAGATTTAAGGTTAAGAATTTCCTTGTTTTTGTTTCTATATTCTCGTTGTATTTTATTGGTGTAGACTTCAGTCATACGTTTTAGAAAAACTCTGTTGATTCATTCGTTTTGGAGGATTTCCATATGATTATTTCTTAGAATGGAAATACAGCTCTTCATGAGGCAGCCTGGAATGGTTATAGTAAATGTGTTGAGCTTTTAGTGGCAGGAAAGTGCAACATAAATATTCATAACCGGGTAAGTCAACAGATTTAGGATTTGTACACTTGAGGATGTTGTTTTCCTTTTATAATACCCTGAGAGATACAAAATGATTCATTTAACTAAACTGAAACCCTGAAGTTTGCAACAAACAAACAACTCTTTTGAGTGACCTTGAACAAACCCAATCAGGGTCAGTAATGGCTGGCAATGAGTGTCACCAAGAATCTAAGAATAAAAAGTTTCATTAAATTTGTAACATAGATTTTCATTCCTTTTCTCTGCTTTCAGACTGGTTATACCAGCCTACATCTTGCTGCACAAAACTGTCACTGTAAAACTTTGCAAGTTTTATTAGATGGAGGTTGCAATGCACTTGTAAAGAATAATGTAAGTGGTTATTGTGTTCTTGACAAATAATACTTGACTTAGTCATGTTAACAAAAAAGGTTTATATAGTGACAATGTAATACTATACAAATTCTCTGGGACTTTATATCCCTTTAAGACCCTATGTGAATTGAAACTTATCTGACCTTTTCAACGAAGAGAATAAGTGTAACGACATGATTTTAGAGTGTAAATTAGATTGTGTGTAATGATGGTCCTGAAGTAAAAAGGGCTTCTCTGACTAAATGGTTGTTCGTCGTTGACACAAAATCCACCGACTTTTTTCATTAAGTTTGAAGGATAGTATTAAATATCTTATGTTTTGAGCAAACAATTATTTGTGATTTGGGTTTCTTTTTGTTCAATTAGTTCGCTTTGCTCATTTTTCCTTTTTAGTATGGTGACACCCCTCTGCACATTGCGGTTCGCTATGGACACGATGAAGTCTGTAAAGCACTTTTGGCCACTGAGCTCAACATCTCTGAACAAAATAATGTAAATGACAATGTAACCGTCGGTTCTATAACTGTGTCATTCAACAAGAGACGATTATTCTTTGTTGGTTCGCCTGCACAGAAAGCGCTGACTAGATGCGAGCGGGAATATTAAGCACGGGATTTAATACGTTTAATGTTGTTCGGTTTGTTGATTTATTTGCTATCTTTTTCCAATTTTCCTTCACTAAAACTCGATATACCTCGCCAGAGGAAAGGAAAAAAGGCCAACTGACCATTCTCCCTGTCAACACACGTTATCTTGTCTTTTTCGCGCTCTATGTTTCTCCGGCCGACCTCTTGTTCGCCAGCACCCGTTACATTACGTTATTATTTACTGCCAATACCATATGCGTGAATTCCCCCTGAGATAGCTAGTTAGAGTACAATTTTGCTATATTTTTGGAGGGGAATTTCAATTTGTAGAATATTGCATGCGGTGACAGGAAATAGAGGAAGAGGACAATAAGAAATCATTCGTTGTAATTGTAATTCCTTTTTTTAACCAGGATGGTAACACCCCCCTGCATATTGCTGCCAGTATGGGACACGAAAAACTCATTGAAATGTTGCTGAATGCAGGAAGTTCCACTACCGTCAAAAATAATGTAAGCAATTGGAAAACCTGATGATAGTTAGAAATGGTCTCTTGAGGTAAAAATCAGAGGAGAATTGGAGTGGGAGAAGTGACTAAAAGCGATCTAATGAGATTTGAGAGGAGATGTGTTCGATGTAAACGATTTCTTTGAAGAAGAGCGTCGACTGTTCTTCTGAAATGGCTTGCAATGCAACCAGAACTGACGAGATCAAAGTTTGCAGCTGAACACTGGCGACAAAAAACGGAACTGTCATTGACAAAGTCTTTCACCTCCTGTAAGCCATTCAGCTACGGCTTACTTTGAACATTTTTATTAGTTATATCGAAAAATAAACTCTGTGTCTAGAATTGGTTCATCTCAGTTTTAAGAAGTATTTCCTTGTCGTTACCGCCGAAGAAAGGGGCTCAAGATGGTTGGTGTTCACAAATCCTTTACAATTTAAATGGGCAAATTTTAGGTAATCCGATTTGATTCATTTCATTTACAGTGATAGGATTTGCCATCGTTATCTTTTTGTTGTTTAATTTCTGACTGTCGCTTTTCTGCCAGCACACATTAAAAGGTGAAATTTGAAGTAAGGAAGGAAGTTTCATTTAAGAGAATATCGTGGAAGCCTTCCGCATTTAACAAGATTTAGTTTCTAACCTTTGCATTTTGTCGCAACTAGATGATAATCGTCTAGTTGATTCTTAATTCACGCTGCTTGTTTGAGGAAGACGTCAGTTCCAAGAATTTTTCTGGAAACACTAGTCGTTTCCTCAAATGTCTGTAAGTTTCATTATGCCTTTGAAAATTGTCTTCATTTGACATCATTCCAGTGGTTAATATGATAATTCACCATTGTGTGGTACTTACATTGGAAATCGGTTAACATCAAGTGTCCTGTCCGTGTCACGTCGCCCTTATCTGTATTCTGACAAGCAACACGAGCACCCTTAGAATCTTCTGGTTCGTTTCGGGGTCCAACCCTAAGGAGACACGAGTAAAAATATAATTTTTCAAGTTCTCTGTTTATACTTACTTCAATTTTCTAAAACTAGGTCTCGACATATTACATGGCTGTATCATTTTGCATACTTCCCCTTAAATCTATTCGGATTTTACCCTCGAGGTCAACTTCACACACCTATGGCTATAATCCATTTAATGAGTACACGTTTATAGTAAAACTTATCCCATAGTTATTTATGAATGTAAGCTCACTACGTTTATGTTTTCCTTCTCCTCATAAGGTTGGTGATACTGCTAGGGAGTTAGCCCTTCAAAATGGATTCAAAGCAATTGCCAAGCTATTAGGTCCAACTAAAGGAGACACACGAAGGGTAAGCAACATAGTATAAGTGAACTTTCATCGCGTTAAAAGGGTTTTCAAGTGGGAACAGGGCATGTTCACTCTAAGACCGCTTGTAGCCACTGTGAATTATTTCCTAAAAAATTTTATCAAAATAGAAAACGCAAACAATAAGGGTGACGTGCTTATGAGATTTGAAGGCAACATTGTGGTACTTTTTCAACGCGTTGAAATACGCGATACATACAATCTTGATTACAATAAATCTAGTATGCATTTTAGATCTTTGAAGAATTCGTAGCCGTCTTCTCTGTAAAGTTAGCTGGCTAAACGACTAATTTTTGATAAATGGCAATCAGTTAACTGTTTGACTCAATCCATCGGGGCTCATTGCGCAATGTTCTGGCTGAAAATCCTTTAACTAGTAGTGGACAACACTTCCATTCTTTGAATTATTTGCGTTACAAACAGCGGTGAATCCGGCGGCTTACCCGATGCGGAAGTTCTAGCAGTGATAGTGGTCGATTAAGCCACAATTACTGGATCTCAGATTTCTAGGAGATACAGACAAGCATTGGGCTTGGTTTCTTAGAAAACCATAGTCTGTCACTAAATTAGATAAAAAGGGTTTCCACCCGGGATTAGTTACCAGTGGATTGTTCTATAATTTTCACCTCTAGATGTTGAAAAACGACAGGAAAGAGAAGCGAAGACCACATAGTTTAGATGTGTCTGAACTCTTCAATGGTGTGACAGACTCTACAATTAACACTACTACTTCTCAGCTATGGAGACCAGGACCATTGTCTGAGGGCCGAGACGCCGAGGTGAGTCACAAAAGAGAATTATTGTCTGATGTAGTGCTCTTCATTGGAAAGCAATGTGGTCCTCCCTTTTTTTAGTTGCTTTGTTGAATATTTTTGTTTTTTTTCAACACTCAGATATCTTTTAAAAATAAGCAAAATATCCAGAATGCAAAACTGGCAACAATCTACTGAGGGTTAGGGTTAGTCTGTTGATCAGATCAGAGACACAGAGGTCGCGTTTTTAAAAAAATTGACCGTCTCCTTCCTTACAGAGTTTTATGTCTTGAAGCTGATTCACACGTGTCACGCAAATGTAAGGAGGGTCGAGTGAAATTACTACAACGTTGGTTAACGGTCCAAACGCAGAGAGAAAAGTAGTTTTGTAATATTCTTGTGCTCTCTTTTTCACTTGCATTTCTGCATAATTGCAGTTCATTCATATTTCTTAAGGATAATTGTTTGGCCAACGCCAAATTAATCTATTTATTATAAGGACGGGACAGTTTTACCGGAAACTAAAACACTTGTTGAGTCAGTACGACCAGTATATCCGGGATCTGAGTAAGGTATTCCCGCCTTTCTAAAACTTTGCTGAATGAACTTGGTTTTTCGTCGTTTGAAATGATCTGTATTGATAAGCTTTTCAGTCTTTATCACGTATATAAATTTTTCATATAATAAAAAGAAAATTAGACGTTAGTTCAAAGATATGAATTATATGTTCTGGTGGCAAGAGAAAACCTCACTCGTTCCCTGTGCTCACTTGTTAGTTTGTTCTGCTGCTGGAACGAAAATGTCATATCTTCTCGCAACCCTGTAATATCCTATATTTATCATTTGCTTCCTACAGAAAGAAGAACGTAAACAAGACTTTTCAAGTCGATTTTCTTGGGGCAAGAAGAAAAAAGAGGAGAGAAAATCCAAAATTCTCACCATTAAGTACGACGAGATGTGTTCCATTGAACGAGACTTCGTCAAGAAGCGGAAAGCATCCTTGAAAAAATCGCGTAAGACTCGTTCAAGGAGTAGCTTAAAATCACAGGTATGAGGTCTCTCTAGCCTTTTCCTTGCTAAAGATTTTCCTGTCTACTGTTTTTTAAATCTTCTTAAACAAAAGACTTCGAAACTAGATTTAAATGTGGTTCAGTTCAATAAGGCTTGCTGTTTGAAACGAGAGTTTACAAGCCGTGTCAACGGCGGGAAAAGTCATGTGAACAATTCACGATGGGTTTTTCTTGTTTAACCTGATTGGTAGAAAATAATTTTTTGCAATGACTGGAAAGTCAGGACACATTCTATTACATTGGTTTTTGTTTTTTTTTTTTGGTCATTTTGTTTTTTCATTTTTTTCTGTTTTAAAAATGTTCCCAACTATTTCGTTGGATTTTGTAGTAAACTATTACAAATTAATGTTTGTGTTGATTGCTGATTGCAAGTTAAGACAGCAAGAGTCAAAAACTTCGCGGGAATTAACTTTTTCCGGTTGATTTAATGCACTTTAGGATAATATGAGTAAGTTCCTAGCTTAACTTACGATTTTGGACGATATGGTTGCCGTCAATAATAACTGGTTGACATGGCATGGAGCTCTTGAAATAGAAATCACTTGTAATGCAAATCCGGCAATCAATCATACCTCAGACAATTCATGGACAGCACCTTTGAACCTTCTTAAATGACTTACTTATTTGATTGACATCCTTTTCATGAAGTACTTCATTGTTTTATGAGGTTTGACCTTCACAGCTCTCGTTATAATTTAAATAGGCAAACAGGTGGCAGGCAATAAATTAGTGCTGGTTTGAGTCTTTTCCAGTATTTTACAAGGAGAAATTAGCATTATTTTTTCTTTCTTTTTCCTTATCATTGTAGGAAGAAGCTCGCTCTGACCCAGGCCTTCATCATGGACGACGGGAATCAAAGAGGTTGCATTCCCGGGGTAAAGAGGAGAAAGCTGAAAGGTTGGTAGAGAGGGGATACCATATAACCTCGATTTAGTGGGAATCAGTGGTTTAACTCCTGGAAAATTAACAAACACTTTCCAATTCTGAATTTGTTTTGGTTTGTTTCGTCAAGTTTCCGGCCAATCAAAAGACCAGCAACTACACGTGCAACTGTGAATCATAAATTTCTCGTTTCCAGGCTCTTAAGTACGAAAAGAACAGCTGCGTTAGCATTTTTGGTTTCGCCAAAGGACAGATGTGAAATAAAGACTGTGGAAAGGATTTTACATCTCACTGTAAAAATCCATTTCGAATCAAATACACGTGGATTTTCTTGATAAATAATCAATTTACTTAACTGTATTACTGAAAACAGGAAATTGGAGTTTTACCGCAAACGCCTAAAACATCTATTTGGGTTACAGACTAGATTCTTGAAAGATACCGCGACTTGCCTGAGGGGTCGGTTTTTTCCGGCTTATTATAGAATGATCACAGTCTTGTGGAATAAAAAAATTATACGAGGTTCGGATGAGCGAGGACGAAAAGAAATAGCGTGACCAACGAAGACAGAAACTTTCATTTTTATTTCCAAGACGTCAACAATTGAATGAACTGTTTGCTCTAAAATTTACAAGGGATTAAGTCTTCAGAGAATCGTGGCTTCCGTTGATGGTTGAATGATTATACTGCTTCCGATTTTAAATGCTCTGAAATCGTTTCTGAAAGCTTTTCCTTTGTTTTGTTCAAATGCAAATTGTAGCTTTGAGTTCCTGTCAATTTGAGAGCTTTTCTCATGAAAACCATTGAAAGCCTCCATAACAAGGAGTTGACTAGTTTTGGGGTTTTATTTAATTAAATGAACCCTAATAAGATGTTAAAAATGTGTTAACAACTCTGCCTTTAATACCACAGAGTGAGATATGCATTAAGTGACTGTGAGTCAGCATCTGACCCAGTTAATTCAACCGGGTTGAAAACTATGACAATGTAAATTCAGTCACACAAGCTGCCAGTTTGTGTTAGGGAATGTTATAACCGCGTTATTAGCATTTGTGCGAGCTGAACGTCATGGCCATTGTGAGTATATTTACTGGAAGCTTTGTGGGCGGTCCTTTGTCGAGATGTTGAAATTGTTCCTTCGTGTGTGAAGTCGTTTCATTTGAATTCACACGACAAACACTTTAGGAGAACAAGGTGTCGCACTTGTCAGCCATTTTCACTCGCGCTCAGTAGAACACGTTCTTCAAGCGTCGACCAGCGCTCAGTTCTTTGTCGACAGTTAAGTTTATAAACTCTATCGACAATTTCAAGGTTTACTGGATGTCTAGAGGAGGACTAAGTCCTTGGATATGTGCGCTGAGCAGGTTAGACGATAAGTTCTTGGTGACGGAACGTAATGGGTTGCCATCGCATCTTTCCTTTTAAAACAAAGTTATTAGGTTTTTCTGGGTAGCCAGTTAGGTTATATACGCTGTATATGTCAGCTTTACCTTTCAGGGAGTCCCTTAAGCACAAATTATTGTCGTGTAAGCATAATTCGTTTTCATGTGGAAACGAGGTTAGCCCTACTCTTCGTTGCGTGTTTCAGCCAGTGTTTTTCACAGGTCGAAGGAAGGTGGTGTTCACTAGAGACCGATGTGTAGTAAATCCATTAAACTTCACTTGAATTCACTAGCGTAGAACAATTCATCGCTTAGATAATTGCATTCGACAATCGCCTGTTTGCAAACTAAACACAGTAGAAATCAACACTACACGATTTCACAGTACATTGCTTTCACAAGAGTCAGAAACGTCTCCGATATTGAGAATGCCATCCAAGATAAGCAGTTGATCTTAAAGGCACTTAAATCAATGAAGTTTACCTAGAGCTTTTTCTAAGATAGGCAAGGTGTTTTCAAAAATTCTTAATTACAAAATCGTCTAAGTTTATTAATGACGAATCATGTGGTAACAAGAATTGTAAGGGACTCATTTTCTAAACGCGAAATTTACATGGGCAATAGTTCCAATCAATTGCTGCTTATGAAAATCTTGATTTTATCTGAATTTTTTTCACGGTTGAACCAACTAGTACAATTTAGACAAAAATGTTGTCTGGATTGCAATTAATGAGGTTGAGTTTCTTACGGCTCCGTGTAGTGAAGT